GGTCGTGGCTGTATCGACCACATGTTCACCACTCGTCAGGTTGTATAACCCAGGCATGCTTGTCGGCGTCCAACAATGATAGTTTTCCTTGAATTAAAAGCAGCGTTCGACTCTATAGACCGTGAGGTTCTGTGGCAGTGTCTGTCATTGAAAGATGTACCTCAGAAGTGCGTAAAACTTGTGAGGGCTATCTACTCAGACACTACCCGTTGAGTCAAAGCTTATGGCGAACTGTCATCTGATTTTGCAACCTCAAGTGGTGTCCGACAGGGCTGTTCACTATCTTCATTTTCATCATAGACCTACTGCTGGAAATAATGCTCGCATCTGCTGGGATCATCGGGTAAGTAAAAGTGAGTTTAGATGCAGGGTATCAAGGAGTGATGGTAAATCAGTTGATGAGGTTGTAAATCTTCATCGACTGAGATGGTTGGGTCACGTGTTACGTATGCCTGCACACCGATTATACGACGCGCAATGCTGATTAGTGTTGGGGATGGCTGGAAAATGTTAGGGGCGGTCAAACCAAGACGTGACATCAGTGCTTGAAGTCACTAACCTCTAGTCTGAGTCATATTGGTAGATTCAAACTACTTGGTTTAGTCCGCGTGACTTTCGTAACCAATGGTTGGAGACTACGCGTGCCATGGCTGAGAATCTATCTCAATGGTGTCGGTGTATACACTGTCTGTCTTCCCTTAAACTATGATACTAAAATTGGTTTTTGTCTTTTTTTCTACGAACTAATTCTTTCTCTCTGTATCTTATCCTTTTACACAATCTTTCTTTTATATATTATTACCATTGAGGTAACTACTTTTATGAATTTGGTGTTCATCTTGTTGCGCTAATGAGGTATGAGAAGTTGGACCGATGCCTATATGTGTCTGGTCCTAAGTTGTATGTGACTGACTCGCTAAATTACTGTCAAAGGAAAGCGTATGTTCCTTAATTGTGTGTTAATACTTCAAACCTCTTCTTCATTTCCCTTCTTATGTTGCTTTGTTGACCGGTAACTTTTTCGTTTCTTTGATCATGAATTAGTGAACTTGTTTATATTCAGATAGCATATTTTTGTTTGTTTTTTTCTTTAGCCTTTTGTTGTACAACATTGTGATATGTAACTTGTTTGTTTGTTTCGTTGTCCTGTGCCCTTCATTTCTGTTAGTATGTGAAATTGTTTAGTGTATTGTAGTAGAATTAATAGTGGAGGTCAATTTTACTTCGTGTATGGGTCAACATGTGTTTGTTTCCATACCTTCGTTATGTGGTATGTAGTATGTAAGAGAAAAAACAGTGAACTTTTTTGTACTCTTCATTGTGATATAGTTATCGGATAATAATTTAAAGTTCGTTGTTTTTTCAACTAATGATGTGTTGTCTTTTATTCAGTTGATATATTCTCCCTCACTCTCTCAGCATATGTACTTGATCGATACTACATGGACTTTACATTGCTTAAGAAGTAAGAATTTAATCAGAAGGGGTTTTGTGGAAATTTCAGTATTTTTCAAAGTTGAAATCATGAGTCAATCGGTCTATTGGTTAAGTACTCCTGCTCGAGACCGGTAGGTCCTGGGTTCGAATCTCGTAGGTGCGGGATCGTGGATGCGCACTGCTGAGGAGTCCCATAATAGGGTGAAACGGCCGTCTAGTGATTCCAGATTTTCTTTGGTGGTCTAGCTTCAATTGACTCATGATTTCAACTTTGAACAAGTATGAATTTCCGATTCATCACTTTTTCTGTGTTTGTGTGTACGTCAAGCTTATTCTCACTTCACTCTAATTTTTTTCATTATTATTATTATCATCATTATGTTTACCTTAAAATGCATTTGTATCCATTTTTGATGATATAGCGTCGTCTTTGTTTCCACTATATTAGCTCTCCCTTTCTCTTAACAGGATATACATTCATATCATTTTGTACGTAGATTATCTGAGATGACGTTCACTGGCAGACTATTTTGTTATGTTATGCTAAGGTGGTGACTAAACTTGAATAAAAATCTGTTTAACGGTATAAAGTAAAACTCTTGCCTTTAGACCATAAAGATATTGTTCTACCATTTAAGCTACAAAACTCTACTGACTCTGTCTCGTTTTAATTTCTGCATGCTATTTTGTTCTGTAAATATAAGGGTGTATACTCTATCAGTGAAAAGCATTTTATTGTTAATTTAATTCTTACTTGCAAGCTGACCACAACTAAATCACCTGGTTTTGTTATAGATATCCATTTACTCATATTGAAGATAGAACCTAATACATGCATATCTGTTCAATTTGCCACATTATATTGAAATTGAGAGATAAAATTACCAATATAAAGCTTAGGTTAGTGAAAGTAATAACAGAATCAAAAGATTAGGTGTAACATAGTTGGTAAGATATTGGTTGCTTTGATTTGTTTGCAATTTCAACTCCTTAACCTTATTCAATCAGTATTACTTTTCATATATCCTTGAAAGTATATGATGCATGTTTACCTACAGAATACAATGTGTTTATCTTTTCTTAATGCAACTGAAAGGACTAGCAAATAAGTCACTTATTTCTCAGGATTCTAATATGTGAGACTCTAGATAAAAGTAGTCATTTAACTAGTAATAATGTGTTTAATGAACACCAGCAAATAACATTTCCCTTTTTATATGGCATTCATGCAAATTTCAAGATATTAGATTAAAAAATAAGTTATAAAGTGAATGGACAGTTTATAAATATATTAAAGCGACCTGTTTAAACCTCTGGGCTACCTGTTCCTGTCATTTAGATATTTCAACAAGTTATCTAATTTTGCTTGTTTTAATACATCATTATGGCCATTAATCGCGCAACCTATTCAGGTGCCTTTCTGAAAAACGTACAACCTTTCTCTGTAAAAGTTACAAAAGGCCTAATCAGAGATATCGTGGTTGCTAGCAATACGCAGCAAAACGAACGTACATTATTCAGATGTCGATTGACTGAACTGCTAACTTCTAACTGGCGATCACTCAATATTTATCGTCAGGATTGACGGAGAAGTAAGAAAAAGAAACATGTTGAAATACTTTGTGCTGAGAATTCTATATTGTACCAAAAATATAATATTGAATAAAGCTAATAATAATATGACTATTTTTTATGATGTATATAGTTCAGTTTATTTTGTTTTACGTACAGTTTATTTCACTAAAATATTTTGTTCCTATGGTATATATATAACAAAATACTTATCGTTTCAACTGAATGTTACTTAACTTCACATAACCTTACAGTACAAAACTCGATTTATGTAATACTCTGTATTGTTACTTATTGTATTATCAATCACATATATACACATAATGGTATACATTGATTCTAATCTTTTATCATTCATTGTTACATGAATTAGACCCATATTATTGTTAATACTTGTCTTATATGCATATGTATATAAGTATTGGTTCTGATTATTTTACTCTTTAAACAATACCCTTTTTTTAACAAAAAAAACAGTTTACAACAAAACCATTTAATAAATTAGTTCAAAAATAGTTTGGCGCACTTTTTACTTGCAAGGAATGCTTCGATATTATGTCGACAATAACACTGGTTACAAATTGTTATGTTAGTACACTATGCGTTTATTCTTTGTTCCATAATTTGATTCGTGCAACAGTTCTATTAATTTCTGTTCAGTTCAATAGATTTTTGTATTATAATGATAAAATAACTTTTGTACAAAATAATTGAAGTCATGGAATGGAGAACTGGTTTTAGATTACTTCTTGTTTCATTCGTTTGTCTGTCGTTTGATTTTGTTTTGGAGGTGTCTTTGTAAAGATGTAAAAACATGTTCATCTCACAGGACAATTTCGATCACTTATAGAATAGTTAGGTTAGGAAGTCTATTTTTCGCCATATATATTACTTGTCAACGGAATATATCTCCATACTTGTACTGAGTTTCATATTTTAATTTGATCTCGATACTCCCCACCCCAAACACCAACACTTGGTCCATTGAGCTAATTAGTCTAAACAGCCTCAAGCGTGCTCAATGGGTATATTATTTATGTCATATTTATGGTTGAATGAATCATAAAATTTCAATTGTTTAGCTGAATATACAAATAAACTATGTAACTTAATTATTTCTTTCCATATAATTGAAAGCGTTGCTAATAATGATATTCATCCACTCAGTTTGTCCCTAAACCGATTATGTGTATCAGTTGTTACTTTTGCTATCTCTAAACGATTGTGTGTCTTATTTCTTGGATGTTGGTTATAAACTTTAGAAATCCGAATTTATTTTATGTATAAGCAAAAACAGTAAAGCTCAAAAATGACAACTTTTGCCTCCCCAAGTTTTTTCCAGTTAATCTTGAATGGGAATTGGTTAGTCAACCTATGTTTTCTTTGTACTCTAAAAGATTCTCATAAAATATTCCCTCCAAAACACAAAAACTATATGAGCTAGCAATTGTTTTCAATTACTTTTTCATGCCTTATTGTTAAATCTAAAATGATCTTGTTTTTACGTTAGATAAGTCTTAGGGTATGCAAATTTAGTGTTTTTTTAAAAGGAAGTTGGAAATAATGAGTTTCACGCGGATGGGGTATTACTTGACCACCAAACTGCATAGTTGGTAAAGTCAAAAAACAGAAGCGATTGGTATCAATGTGAATAAATCTGACCCATATGTACAGAAAGTGATACAGTCATCCCTGCAACACAGTTGTCACATCGCTAATTCAATCTTTTCAGTAAAGGTTACATGCATAACTGCATTCCCCTTTGTTGAGATTTGTACCGTTTATAGTAAAATATCCTTAATTATTGAACCATCTTTCCTTAATAACATGATACTTTTTGTGAATAACTATTGTGGTTATTATTGCTAGTGTCAAGATAACCACAAAGCATAACAGTTCCTATTCTCTGTTAGATTTTTTCTCACACACTTTTAATATATTGATTGGAACTTAGTAATGACTGCTCTTCACTTTTTCTTCTATTCTTCCAGGCTATGATTATTCGTAAACAACAAGATGATTATATAAAACAATTACAAATGTATTACGATAATCTGTTAACGAAACATGCTCTAGCTGAAGTTACCATAGATCAGTTACGTATGGGAATACGCGTAGGAATTGATGTAAAGAATCCGAATGATTCATCAGCTCAGAATGTATCAAATAAAACAAGATCTCATAGTATGCAAGCACTACATTATAATATTAATAATAGACGTGTATCTGATGAAAGTTATGCTCAGGTCAATAGTGGTTATCATCAGACTAGAAATAATTCTAGTAATAATAATAATCTACATTATTCGTCAACACCTTTATTAGAACAACAGAAAAATCAATTAAAAAGAAACTCATCAACACATGATACAAGAATTTTATCAGTAACTTCTGATAGTTGGGAAACTGGACTGGGTAGTATAAGTAATTCTAGTCAAATTCATTGTCAGAATGATTTGCCTAACATAAATAATTTTGATAATCAACAATCTGTTTGTCATAATCAAGATCCTATCACGTAAGTTCATTATATCTTATTTAATCTCTCATCATCCATTACAACTGCAATCTCTTTATTCTGAATAAATACCGCACACGTGGAAATTTGAAATAGTGTATGGCTCAGTAACCCTTCCTGTTTAAACTTATAATATTGGAGAATATATGTTTCGACTGCATCTTCAGACGTCAGACCTTAGTGATTACCATTAAACTAACTTAGTTTCCACAATTAACTACTGACTAAATTCCTTAAATTTAGGACAATATCTGAAATCTGTGTCATTGTATCTTGCAGCGGCAATAAACATCCATTTTTAGTTATTTATTTAATCTCATCTATGCTGAAACACTAATTTAGAATTAACTACTTGTAAAAGAATCTATCATTATGATGTTCCATAGCTTGAAATTAGTAATAATGTCAATGGATTAGTAATAATCGACTTTGATTTATATATGGTTAAATTTTCAATTTTGTCAGTCACCTACCACGTTTTCTGTAGTTCAGTAATAACACAGCAGAAAACATCCTACCAAAACGTCTTGTGTAGTAATCTGTATATCCATTTGTCAACTTGTTTCGAATAGTCAATAAGTGAACAGTTTGTAACTGATTTAACGTGAATATCAAACAGTTATCCTTAGTACATATACTGCTCTGAAATTATTTGGAATATATACCATTAATCAGCATGATAATTTTACATATTGTTACTTCCTATTTTTTTTACCTCATACTTTACAAATCCAAGAACAAGTAGTAATAATTGTATACTGGGTCAAAATCACTTCAGAAAATCTTCTGATCCTTCTCTGTCTTCTGGCAATGACATTTGTTCTCGTTTTCACAGTGATCCAATGAAAACGTCTATCAACTCAAGAAGAAACACAATAGCAAATTCATGCTCTCCTGGTCAACAACAGAAACACCAAAATCAAATGAATTTATCATCGTCATCGAACAGAAATCACAAATCTTCTGGTAATATCTTTGTTTATCGAAATTACTTTAATTCGGAATTGCTGTTTTTGCACCTTATATTTTGACAGTTGAATTCACGAGTCGATCTAAGCTGGACAATCATTGTAAAACCTAGAAAAACTGGACGGCCGTTTCGCCCTAGTTTGGTACTCTTCAGCAGTGCACTATTTCAATGTTAAATATTTCTGACTCTCAGCTATTACCTTAACAGAAAACTGTTTTAATAATCTAGTTTTTTAACTGCTAACATTCATCAACATCACTCGTGATAATCTCGGGATACTTGCTTTTTTACTATTTCTTAATTCCACTATTTTTAGTTTGATTACAATTATGAATCTAAACTGTTGTGTGACGCGCAGTGTCCAGTAGTCGGTACTGATACATGCTCTTTATATGCAAGAGCTCAAGCGCTCGAGAGATAGAGTATATATATATATATATATATATATCACTTTAGGAAATTAAACCAGTCAGTGGTTTATTCTTTAGCCCTTGAAAATGAAAGTCATGTCTTGTTCAATCACATGTTCTTATGAGTTAGTGCCTCTTGATTTGCCCACAAACACTTTAAAAGAAGCAGTTCTTTTTTTTCCGAAATAAGTAGCAGTTTTTTTGTGTTTCCCAATCGATAAGTTCCTAACTAGATATGTAAGTTTGAAGAAATGAAATTTTCTACCGAATTGTCTAGTTGATTAGCCGTTGACTTTTTAAAACTATGATGAAAATTAGTTTTTGCTAAGAGTTTGACGCGAAAAGTAAAGTGTGTAATTCCTAATGTGAAAATTGCGACTGAGATTTTGTTAGATTCATCTGATGAGTTTCAGAATAAAGGAAACACCTCTCCTGGATTTCATTGCGTTCTATTATCTAACTGACATTTTAAAAATGTATATTCGTTTAAACAAACATATATATTTATTCTTTTACCATAGCAAATTAGTCATTAAAATAAGATTGTTCATTACCGTAACTAAATATTAATTATCATTTCACTGTTCATACCAATCATTTATTTTTGCCACCTGATCTTACGTCCTGTTGTCCTTTTTTTAAAATTTTTATAAACAGTTTCGGAATCACACGATGGATGTACCAAGAATGGAGTAATTATGAACGAAGAGTTTGAGAATATACCCATGAATATAAATCATATTAGTAATCAAAATAAAAAACCAGACTGTCCAAAAGATTCAATAAATATTATTCAGCACTCGCAAAAAGCCGTCTCCACTGTTGCCTCGCCATTAGTCAACGATACACCCGATTTAGATGACGATATGGTTTGTGGTCCTGAAGCTATTCAAATGGAATTGCTTCTACGTGTTGCTGACTTACAAACACGTTTGTCTACAATGGAATTGTACGCAAATGAACATCGATTTATTCCTGATGCAGATTTAGTCACAATGCAGTCGGATTATGGAACATTGAAAAGTTATTATGATTTAGCTAAAGTTCGTTGGGGTAAAGGTAATTCTTGTTCTAAAGCTTATTGGATTTCAAGTTTGTGTTGTCGGGTAAAATTCATTGAAATTGTATCTACATTAGATTTTCAAATGGTTACATATCGGAGATATCGCTTAAGTACCTTTAATTTTTCGCATAATAAAGTCGTCGGATTAAAATGTTTTTAAGTTTTTCTACTGTAAGTAACCATAGTTCTGTTATACTGTTCTAGTTTGAACCCTTTTTCATTATGATTTACGCATATGTCAAAAGTAAGTTGAAGAAACCATCTCCAAACATAGATGAAGTAGGCCTAAACCATTGTCTTTAGTTGTTCTCTGCCCAATTGTTCTTCAGTTGTTATATTTGTTTACTTTCAAACTGATGATTGTAATGTGCATTCACTTAAATATAGTTCACTAGTGACATGCTTCATTTATCTTTATATCCAGTTTTTTGGAAAAGTTGTCAAGTGTTGATTTTTGAGTGGTCGAAATGATCATTTTAAAATTTAGTTTCAAAAAATACAACACTAAGTTTCCTTTGTTACTATAACGTTTTTTAGGTACTCACCTGGAATTGAAACCACATTTTTATCCCATTAAGTTACATAGTTCATTTAGCATAATTACAAAGATTTATTCTTGGTCCCTTACATGTGATTTCTTTTAGGCACTATTAAACATACCCGTCTGTCAATGTGAGATGTTTTCTTTTTCTTTTCAGACCCTCAGTTTGATGTCAATAAAGTATTAATTGGTGAATTAAATCACATGGGTAGTCAGTTGGATAAATTAGGAAGTTATGTATTAAATAGTGTTGAAACAATATCATCTCCATCATCTACAAATTCATCACCTGCACCACTTCCAACTCCACAACCAACTTCCATGTCTATTTCTGATCTACCTGTAAATTGGAAAGACCTAAATTTATTTAAAAATTCTGGTCGCATACCTTCAGGTGAAAATAAACCTATCAAAAATACAACAGATAGTGGTGTTCTATCATCTCCATCTTCTTTACCTAGTCGTTCAGACCACGGTCGATTATCCTCTGTATCTCCATTACATTCTCCAATTGTTGAAGGTTTGTTTTATAATTTTTTTAACATTATTTCACATCACTCTGTTTGAACTACATATATATTCAGAGTAATTGTATCTTAACTTGTCGACTAATGATTTTTCCTAATATTTCTATGCATTAAATTCGTTGAATTGTGATGTTGATATATGAACTCTTGGATAGTGTCTGTGCTTTTGTAAAAATCGTTTACTTCAGGAAAATCAATAATATTTGTTGAAATTATTTACATAGAGTTTTGTGATTTATTGTTTGTCTTAACTTAGCACGTATCCAGGTGTTATAAGGTTTAGAAATTCTGGATGGTAGAAAGTTTTTCTGACCACATGAATTTTTATGATTATGGTCAATAAATACAATGATTTCTCCTCAATACACTCTGTTTTACAATGCCAATAGAACTATCTATCAGTGGGTGACATCTGCCTTGTGATGAATTCATATGAATTCTTATCACTTTACAATTCATATTCAAATAGCTTAATACTGAGGTTTTGAAGATACTTGAATAACTCACTCTGATTATAATAGAATGCACCATTCTGAAGGATTATTCTGACCATACATCATAGTCAAGAGTTAAGTGAACATCAATTGTGAAATGCAGGTACATGCTGCTGACGAGTCCAAACTTAGACGATACTCTCATCTTGGATTTCACTGCTAGTCACCATCCATCGTTGCTTATAATGCTTGTGACTTGTTGTCAATATCGAGGCGATCCGCATAGGATTAATTGCAGTCCTAAACAGCAATGGGGAGATTGAAATAACTAATAAAATTTAAATACTGAACTCACCATATTGACATTCATCAAACTGTTTACATAAATGATTTCAGTTAAATGTGATGTTTAAATACAAACAGTATTTTCTGTCCTTATAATCAATTATCAGAAATGTCCGTTTCAGGTAAACAACATTCGATAATCATTAGGATGTTTACAGTGTCACTGCTTCATAATAAATCTGTTAAATATCTAAGATTTAAGATAAATAAGTGCTTTATTGAGGTCATCTCAACTTTTATTTTGGTATATGCTGCTGAATCGTTCACATACTTCTTATACTTATTGTTTAGTGACAAATGGAAACGAGTAGAGCACTGCATTAACGGTTAAGTGGTTCAACCTTTCGCCACTAATTAACAAGTTTGAAGCCCTTTCTACCTCCGTTTTGAGGAACTCAGTGGTTTCATCCGCCCTTATACTTGATTTGAAGCCAAGTATACGAATCTATTACTCGCTATTGGTTAATAATAAGTGAAAAGGAGATAGGACAAACCCAAAACTAAGATATGATACTTATTCCAAAATGCTGTTTATCTTTGATGTGAATCATGCAGAAAACTGTCTACCTCTTGAATGTATCAGCTATATATCAATGATAATAATTAGTGTTTGCATATGTTATCTACCATTGATTGTCTCTGATATGATTAGTGTATATTTATTCTTGCTGGTCATCTGATTGTAAATGTAATGAGAATATTTAATTTCAATTGTGTTTCAAAAGTCTCCCATATTCACCTATCTAAATAATTACTATTACTATTAGTAACTATTTACATGATGTAGTTTATGAAAATATTAAAAGATTGTAATACTGAATAGTTAAATACTACATAATATTATCTATAAGTAATATTTCATGGTAAATTTTACATTCATCTCATCTAGGATTCTTCATATAGCAACCGTACCCTGTTTTCTATAGTTTGGGTTTGTATTGAAGTTTATCGAAGTTGTTCATTATATTACTTAAAACACGACTGTCTACTTTTATTTTATATTTCTATCATTATTGATGAATAGATTCATTATCGGAACTTGAGAGTGTATATATTGAATTGATGCAACATTACAATAAGATTAAACAGCTTCCAATGACTGCTTTTCGAGCTGAACAATTGTACAATTTGATGAAGGTAAGATAATTTAATAATGAATATACATAACTTCCAAAGTTTATTTCCGTGTTTATATGGTCAGTATTAATGATAATAAAAGCAGTAATAATAATAATAATCAGTATGAGGATTTATGGAGATTGTAGTATTTTCAAAATTGAATTCATGAGTCAAGTTAGACTGAGGAGTCCCATGCTGAGACGAATCGGCCGTCCATTGTTCCAGGTTTTCAATGGTAGTCTAGCTTAGATCAGCTTTTGTATTCTAAAGTATTAAAATTAATAATAATACTTTTATTTAGCTATTTGTTCTCCGGTATCATATGTTCGAAGCTTCGTTATTATTAGTTGGGGAGTAATCCTACTATTGACGTTTATTGATTTAGTCTGATTCTGTCCTTCTTATGGGTCTTACAAATCATAGATTCAAATTGTAGCGCTTCTATTACCTTTCCTGAGGCTTGCATATCAAAGAAATCGTCTTCGCTTGGGTATGAATTCAAAACAACTTACCATCTTTACTCATTAAGAGTTATAATTCGGTCACTTAATCATTTTACACTTCTCAGCGATTAAGCCGGCTATGAAAGCTCTTTTTTATCAGAAAAGTTTCAAATCAAAACTTCAATTCCTGATATCCTTAGAAAAAACCTACCTAGGTTATATGGAATTGAACCAATTAGATTACAAACAAAAGGTGTTGCCATACTGTGGCTATTTCAATGTAGAGAATGAAATAAGAATCACGCCTTATCATTCAGATCGATCATTATGTCTAGTTTTCTACACAGATGTGACGTCACAGAAGCTTTTTTTCCGTATTAGTGATGAAATATTATAATGAATTCATTTTACTGGTCGTATTCTGTAAGTTTCAAAAGTGAAGTATTCACTTACCGTGAACATAAATTGTTTTTTCCATATTCCACACTACTTCATTAAAATAAAGTTCTTCATCAGACAATTGTATTTGAACAAATGGTTAATTATCAGAATGGGAATCTGTAGAGATTTTAGTAATTTTAATTTTCGACTTATGGGTCAATCGAAGCCAGACCGCCATTAAAAGCCTGGAAGCACTGGACGACTGTTTCGTTTTAGTATGGGACTCCTCAGCAATGCACATTCACGGTCCTTCACGAAAGGGATTCAAAATCAGAACCATCGGTCTCGCGCGCGAACTCTTAACCTCTAGATCACTTAACCGGTATTCAATAGTGTTCAGTGCTTCCAGATTTTCAACGGTGGTCTAGCATACGAAAAACGTTTGAACTCCATCTTTACTATTTTGTAGTTTCCACTATGTTCATCATATCATATTCAAATATGTTATATGCTAAATTTTTATTCCTTATTTTAGCGTTTATATGATTTGGCGTTAACTGCTTATGATCGTTCTAGTATTATTGCCTCACCAGATGAATTAGAACGTATTTTCCAATTAGATGGGGATACCAGAAAATTAAGTGAAAATTTAGAACGTGCTATTGCTTTACAAGAACAATTATCGAACTATCAGAATTGTAAGCATTAAAAAAGAAATAATGTGTAATTTTCATCTCTTCCCGTCTCTCAAGTCCTCTCATTTATTAATAATAATAGTGTATAATATGTAAAACGTGTTAGATTTCGTTTGGTAGGTGATGGTGTGAACGAAATGCCTACTTCATTATGATGGGTGCGAATCCAATGAGATGATTATTTGTTATTGAATAGTTTATATTTTATTAACACGTTTTCGATTCTATTCATCTGTCATCATAAGAAAAATCTAATGCTTGATTATTTACAAAGAACCTTTTTTGTCGTAGTAATATACATTACTCAAGACAGTCGAACGCTATTCTCAAATTCTCTGAAGCCATAACTATCAAACAATTAGAGCCTGACTTATGTATCCAAAAGGACACAGTTGTGAATCTGTCCTTACTACGGTGATTTCATCGCCATTTTATCACATCATTATTTTGCGATTTTCTTCCCTTTCCCTCTTTTAATTACATCACTTTTTTTCGAATCCATAACCTTATTACTTATTTTTTAAGTGACTGATCTCAATTCATGTTATTCTTAATCTTTATTAATTTACGTTCAACTACTTTATTATATAATCAATGAATTACTTGTTACTATAGCTGATCTTCTCCCACATATTACATTTATACACAACACTCATTACATTTTTTCACTCTCACTACTCCATCACAATCATAGATATCCATTTTACTGCTATGAGTATGTAAACTTTACAATAATTTTGATTTAAAATACTACAGGTTGTAAGCTGCTGATGAGAACCTAACGAAATAAAATAGATTTATGTTACTGTGCTCAATTCTTTGTTCTAGTTTTATACAAGATAATAAAGGGAATTAAATGTATGAAACTACTTAAGATATTTGTATTTATGACTGATAGTTGACCATAGACTGCTGCAGTGTACTATGTAAGGTTAAAAAATAAAGTGTTCATTTGAGAAAAAGATACAGAATTTGATTGAGATGAAAGTTTGAAAAGCTAAGTGAAAATAATTTAAATGTATTATTAATAAAAGGGGTTTTATGGAGTCATGCTTCTTTTTTTTTAACGTCACTTAATAAGATTCAAACCATTTATCAGAAGTTTTCGTTGTTTGTAGTGATTTTTTGGAAGTTATTTCATTATGTTTTTTAACTTGTGATAAATATCTTCTTTTCATTTCTATCTTTATTTGTAGTTCATAGTTCTGAATCGAATACTTCATCACCACACAAAGAGGTTGTTCCACGGACGAGTGAAATAAACGATAAGAAAGCTAATCTGCCTAAAGATAAGAGTACGACTAAATTATCATCATCTGTTTCATTATCGTCGTATTCCAGAAGATGTGATGCACAAAATAATAAAAAGGTAGGATTATTTGTCTCTTGATATAACTGTCTGCTGAAATAATTTTGTTGTAAAGTAGTACTAGTAGTAGTATTGGTATCAGGTATAATAATCTTGTATAAAATACGTTATTTCTGTCGGTGACTTAGTGATTGAAGCACTCTGTTTTAAAAAAAAGATGATGTCACACATTCGAATTTCACTCCCTTGGTTTTACAAAATTCTCACCGAAAATCGAGTCCATAAACATGTCGCCTGACCAATAAGTTTCATTAATATGTTATGTCAGTTATATTTACTGTATCTGTAGATGTGCGATGCAAACATTGACCATTTGTATTAATTTACCACTTTGGACTCGTTGTTGATGGAGTATGTTTTCATAACTGCGAAATAATATGATTAGCCTTAACCTACCCTGATAATACTGATTTATTATTCAGAGTGGTTATCACATTGTTTTTGTGTACTATATATATGTATTTGATCTCGAGAAACGTTAATTGTGGTTGAAAAATTCCTAATAATTTTTGCTTACAGTACTAAATGAAATTAAATATACATTTTAAAATTTCATAATATTATATTTTCTACATTCAATATGTTTATTGTCATAGAAATGCTAATCCGAGTATGATTTAATAATGCATAAAAAGTACCTTATTAATCACCTTAGCTTATATGAATCACCTTTGAACTTCATTATATTTAATTAAATCGTCATACTTATGTTCAATTCTGTATTAGTGTGTCATGTTTCGTGTTTTTTAAAAAAAAATGTCTTCCTGTTTATCTACTATCTCTGTTAATTCTTTTGTGGATAAAAAATACTGCCCACATTTTTGTTGTCAATATGACGATAAAAGTTTCGTGATTTAATGCTAATGCATGTAAATTTGTTACATCATGCTTCTATGTAGTTATTCTGTTGGAAATATTCATCATTCTATGACAACATATATTGGTTTGATAGTAATTCTCCTACGATTAGATCCAATGATTTTAGGAACAGCAGCTGTTTCTTTGCTTCTTAATTATCAGTGGGTTTTTTTTCGCTGAAATCATAGTTAAATGTTTAAAGCAACTTCTAATGTATTACGTAATGACCTTTCGATAAATTTCTAGCAATAAATCAGAATAGCTTTTATCGCGAGAATTTGTGTTCCGAGTTCAAAAGTAATCTGGAAGTGTTAACTATCTTAAATCAATAAATGCAATGGTATAGTTTGCGTAAATTGTACTACCATCATAACTATGTATATTTCTGTAAGGACGGCCCGTCGGTAGACTCTAGAAAACCCTAAGAAGCCCAGGAAGAGCCGCAGACATTCCATCCAATCACGGCTAGGGGAATGTTCTAGAAATGCCAACGTGGAGCTTCTCCATTGGATGGATTAGTTTGATACCTATGTGCTTATTGGTTGACCTAAATGATAATTTATTTTCAGCCAATAACTATAAATACACGAGATTTCTGTGCTATATTTTGACACTGTTTGGGGCAATAAACTTCCTGCTTACCAGTCTTTGTCTTCTCTCTTTTTGCGACGTTGCGGGTTCTATCGTTCAAGTAGACGAGTAGTTCGCGGCATATTAAGAATCAAGGCTCAAGATATAACAATTTCTAGGTACCAAAACTTGGTTGATACATTTTTGGAATTAGATATGAAATTATTACACCAAATAAAAATTGGGGGGGGCGCAGAATTAGATTTGATCAGTACTGTTCTGCATCATTTGTTTTTGTTGTCCGGAAGAAAGTCAGCTAAATGTTGCACAGTAATTTTTTGTGCTCATAATCTAACAGGTAATTTAATTTGTCGTAGTATCAAAGTCCTAGCCTCAAATTCTCAGTGATGCTTATTGCTATATCCGGACGAGAATAAATGAGTGGTAACCTTTAGGAATTATTTATGTATTAGTTTTATATGTAAATTCTTATTGTATATCTATTAAGTAACTATATTATATGTATATTTTCATTTATTTATTTATTTTATAGTAAAGGTCATCAGTCAATTGAAGCTAGACCACCTTGGAAAACTTGGAAGCACTGGACGGCCGTTTCGTCCTATTATGGGACTCCTCAGCAGTGCGCATCCACGAACCCGCTCTCGCGAGATTCGAACCCAGGACCTGGGTCCAGTGCTTCCAGGTTTTCCACGGTGGTCTAGCTTCAATTGACTCATGATCTTAACTATAAAATTACCAAATCTCCACAAAAAACCCCTTGTGATATTTATTTATTTATTTATTTATACACATAAATATTGGTACAAGGGGGTACCACATACATATGCACTACACAAATCTCATTCGATTTGTGTGAGGGCTGTGATACTGCTCCGGTGCTCAAACTGAAGCTTTTATTTGACCTTTTGACTGTGATTGGCATTCTGGACTTAACAGGCAGGGCCAGGCGGAAAAAGGGCCAATTGGAACTCTAGACCGCTCATACTGGTGTATGCATCGTTAGGTTGTTCGTATATGTCAGCGTATCTAAATTGGCAATCGTATTTCTCAATAATCGAACAGCTAAGGACATAGCACTTGTGATATTGCACACAATAGACTAAGTAACGTTTTAACAATGCACCTACATTGACCTCAATAATTATAATTTTAATTAATTTTTGTGTACTTTTCTTCTAGAATTCTATTCATTCACAGTCATTCACTTCACCTGACTCATCATCCAATCAGGATAGTGGTCTTTCAACACCACCTGAAAGCTCTGATGGTATGAAACATGATGAAATAGATCATCATAATCATCATTACCAACAAAATGAATCTAACCAATTACCTAACCATTATCAGACTTGTTATCCATCTTCTTATCAAACTTTAAGGCATAAAACACCACCTAATAATAGTAATTCACAAATAGATCATTCATTTGATACACCAAAATACGACCATTCTGATAGTGGTTTAACAAGAACACATCCTCAAACAATTCAACCTATACAACCTATTAATTGTGATAATAGAAAATCACCTATTAACACATCTTCAGTTGAATTAAATCATCCAGTCTTTAATAATAATAATGATAAACAAGATAAAAAGATAATAATGGAAAAGAAATCACCTGTTTCATATTCTTCAACATTATCATCCAGTCCAAGTACTAAACAGTAAGTGAATAAAATTTTACTACCTAGTTTCAGGTTGTTTTTTTATCTGTATTTGAATAAATTTGAATTTTGTCTCAATCAAAATGCTCTCCATAGTAACAGTTCATTTACTACTGTATATTATTGTGAATTTATGTAGATCCAACCACACAAAATCCCTTCAATTCTTTTATTTTTATGTCGAGTTCTTTTTTTTCAATCGAACTGTTTCTGTATATCATTTGTACAACAGTTAACTTATTGTGGTATTCGTTTGTAGTTATTAAATGGTAAATATGAAATGGCAACTTTTGTTATAAAAAAACTTTTAGATCAGTTATTATAATTCTTATTAGATCGGTTTTTCAATGATTCTGAGATTTAGTGTTCTATGGTATTGATCAATTCTAGAAATATGTAAACAGTTATGATAATAAAATTATCAAAGCAATTTTTTCTCAATGTTTAATTATTTGACCATTGTTTTACAATACGTTCAAAATAACAAAAATAATGTTGTTTTTGGAAAAGTCTTCCATGATCGGTTCAAACGTTTAATGGTAATAAATGTATCATGTTAATTAGAATTCAAATATGAGCGTTACATGTTTAGATACTTGATTGTCGTCCAGTGGTATGAATGGGGTTGTCTTTTTATGGTCTTCCATGCGGTGAAAGGACATTTCTCGAGATCAGAAGTGCTATTGACGATTTGAGAGTACGAATGTAATACCCGAGGGATAAATGCTTCAAATTGCTGACATACGACATTTTATGAGTAGTTATAGATATGTGAGCTCCATACTTTTAAGGTTTTTTTTGCCAACTATGAGAATCAATGTGCTATTTTCGTGGTTAATGTTTTCCAATTCCATTCTACCATTATGAAAAGGCAATGAGCTCCAGTTTTTATTTATTTTATTTGAACACACAAATATTGGTACCAAGGGGCACTAGGGCGGGCCCACCCCACTCTCGGTCGTACCAGAGCCTTTGAGGGCAATAAGCTCCAGATCTTGGTACATATCAAAAACTTTACTGCTATGACGCTCCTGTACAGTTGACATTACAACTTCGACTTCGGGCCATATTTGTGCCACTTTTATTCGTATGGTTCTCCAACAAACCTAAAGGAACAGATTTTCTAGCCAACTGTACTAAACCACCACAACATGGAAGCTACTATTGGGTATATACATATCAAGGACAGTGTTGTTTTATTGACACGTATTAAAAATAATCTACGATCATAGTAAATTCTACTTTTTATCGGTTTACTACCATGACTTCCAAGGTTATTGACAATTCTTGTTATTTTATACACTTGTATCAAAACAGGTTAATCAACTATCTATAATGAATTAAGAAAGTGTTCATATAAACTCTATAGATTAAGACATGAAGTTTATGTTTCAGTCGATTTTTAACTTTGTAATTTAGGTGATCGAATTAATAGATTGATGTTTACATGTGACGTAAAATGTTGTTTAAAAACTGTATTTAATTTTATAAAGTTTTATACATTCGTCTTTAAATCAAACTATTTATATTAAGGCTACACTGTTGTCTGAACTATTATAGATGGGGTACAGTTAAAAGCTGCGAATTACTTACACGACTCAAGAAATTCATGTAAATTAAGGCTTGGTTATCTTGAGGTGATTTCTTTAAGAGTTACTCTTATCAGTTTTGAAATTATTACCACCTATTAGTGGGATCGAAATTATACTATCATTACAGTTTAGTATTTTGTTTAATACAGTTTGCATTTTCCCTCATTATTGTTAGGCGAATAAATGATCTTGAGAACGGTGTACGTTTATTGAAGGAGAATCTTGAAAATCTTTGTTTAAAAGCGGAAAATGGTGCACAAAATGGTAATGTGGAATATGGAAAATCAATTTTCATTCAAAAATCTTGTCAATTTGTTTCACCTACATTTTGTTCGCGTAATAATCTTCCGTCACCAGGTGTAAAGAATTCAGATAGTTCTGCATTTCCGCATCTTATCAATAGTGGCTCTCCTTTGAACATCAATAATAAAAGTGTTGGTGTTTATGCATCATCTGAACTACCGAACACATCATCATTATCCATGCAAGGTGTTTACGAAAAGAACCTCGTTGAGAATTCGAATAGCAGAAGAACAATAGTTCCACCTGGTCGAGTGTATCATAGAACAGTAGATCGAAGGTTCGTCAAAAGACAATTATTATTTCTACTATAACATACGATTTATTCATATCGCATATTTTTTGTCGTTCTTAGTCCCTGAATTTTTGTAATGAACTAGTATAGTTGTAAGTTATTAACTAATGCTCTCGGTTGATTTTCTCTTTCTCCCTCTCTCTGTGATTTTGCTGATTTATGCTGTTGCATATTTAACTGCCACGTTTTCACGCCAGATCCTATGTTGTCTATATATAATTGACTTTACTAAGCTGATAATTTACCTAATTTATATATTATGCTCTGCTCTTTACAATCATTGTTTGCATATGATTCTTGAAAATTTATAATGTTTTGTAGCTTACCAAGTTGGTCAACTCGTCACATTAATATCTTATTCACCTGATTTTCGTTTAATAATTGTTTGGTGTACTCCCTATGGTTTGTTTGAAATTCTATTAAGTTTTGAGTTCACTTGGTATTGTTTATTTGATTCTTCCCATTGATGTTTAGGACTGCAATTAATCATTCTCTTATTGGCATATGTGCATACTGTGCGTATTGCTTCGATATAGCCTTAATTCACAAACATTATAAGCAAAGATGGATTCCACTACTTTCCACTGTCCATATTTGCTTATAAGTCTATAAAGTTTTTTTTATAAAACTCGATTATTCCTCATACACAAATTACAATCGATACTAAGATTGGTATTTAAACCTTATCATTGTTTAAGCATAATAAAATCTAATAAATAAGGAAATAGTTTAATCGATAAATATTGAGTGCGAAAACGTTTGCTACTTTCTGCCCATAGATATCAAGGCCTATTTTCGATAGACTAGTTAATACCACGGTTGAGTATTCATGATGTGAAACGGAGTTTTTTAATGCTGGCATCTGCCAGTCCATCATGACTCCGTAGTTTAGGTATGAGAAATAGTCCAAGTTAGTGACTTGAAAAGTTATCAAACGTGACTCAAAACAGAAGCCAGTGATTATCCTTCAATTTTCTTTTACGTTCTTCATTAAGATAAGATGCGCTTTTTTAACTTCAAAGATTTTTTCTTGATATTATTTTTACCGAACTGTATCTACTATTATATGCTACTTGTTTGCGCTTTCTTTTTCATTTCTCTTCTTTTCCCTTCTTTATTTCTTTCTAATGGTTTCTTTATGTGGTGTATACTATTTTCGGTGACCATTTGTACTGGATTTTATGTGAATTAAATACTTGAATGATTGGTCTGTGGAATTTCATGAGTATGTTTTCTTTCTACTGTGATTAGATAGAGATCAAATCGTTACTGGTATTTTATTATCCTGGGATGTGGGGCATGATTAACCTACTTTATATCGCGTTCTGCGTCGTTTCTTTGCCTTAGTAATATTTTTATTGTAACGATCTTGTATTATGTGCAATAATTCTCTATATATTTTATACATTCTATTTTTTAGGTTAGTAGTACGTGGTCAGGAAAATGATTGCGATTATTCATCTATTAAACCTCAAACCAACAATAAAGGATATGTGAAATCAAAGTCGAATCGACCTAGCATACGTACTTTGTCTAATAATAATTCACGTCAAATTTCACATCATACTGGCAATTCTAGAGATTTCAGCTGTTCTAGAATAGTTAATTCTTCACGATCCAACAACAATGCAACTCATTATTCAAGTATGTTTAATATTAATAACTTTTTTCTCTTATATTTCTAGCTTATACTAACCATATGTTATTCTTTTCATTAGGTTTAAGTATGTTAATCTGATATAGGTTATGCAGTTGATCTTGTGAATTTCTTACCTTTTAGTGTAATTTTAACTGTGATAGCAAATTACACTTAAAAATGACTAATTTTCTAAATCAGTGATATGATTCCTTCTTTTGAGAAAGTCCTATATCGTCTAAAAAATGTGAGATAGACCTAGTTTAAAGATGCTTAGAATAATAGAATGAATCATTGTCATTGGAGAAAAGATGTTATAACACAATAACATTGTTGGAGTGATCTAGAAAACTTCTCACAAAAGACAAGAAAGGCTCAGGAAACACCAACAATCATTCTATCCAATCAGCGTTCACTAGAAGTTTTATCAGAAACATCACGAAAGTGAAAGGTCACATGTAAAGTTTCTGATTGATGGATTACTATACTGCTACTATGTTAAGTAGCATTCCAAAATTTTCGGGCAAACCCAAGGACTTTTTAAAATACAATAAAAACTTTAAATTTTCTGTACAGGAATGAACCTTTGGAGTAAAGTGGTTCTCGCATATTTTGCGCCTTTTCTCTCGTGTTCAAATCGCTGTATAGATTTAGCTTGGCGGTCACGAGAATAGCTTAGAAACCGAGTATAGCGTTCAATTAGCAAGACTTGCCAAACATTTACAGCACTTATTCCCATACGTTCTTCTGTTCCTCCTAACTCATCGTCTTTTCTTGTGGTTGTTCCTGTTACTCTAAACACGAAATATTACTTCTGGACTGGTGTACATCAGCACATTAACTACTAGTGGAGAGTGAAGTATTTAAGTGATTTGGTTACTTCACTTATCTTAGAATTGTGATTAGCCCTGACTTGTTGGTGTCTAATATAACCTTGACACAAATTAAAAAAGCTTGGTTGGCGTTTCCCAATTTGTGTCACTTGTGCTGAAGGCCAGATATTTGACCACTAACCAAAGGGCGCATATGCTGTGCGACCATTTTCGCTGTTCCACTTCGTGGTTGTGAAACATTTTAATTGGAAGTACATGACACGCGTAAGCTCCAGGTTTTTGATCATGGAAGTTTTTCAAGCATTACCCTCGTTTAGCGGATTGATCGAGTTAATAATGTTGAACTTAGACGTAGAAAGCTTATGAATGAATCTTCACTGACTGAGGTGGCTAGGATATGTTTTAAGTATGACTTTTCAGCTCCTACCCCGATGACTGATTCTTTCTGGCGCAGGAATAGTTAGGAAGAAGTCTAGGTGTTACGAAATCAAGATTTGAATCTAGTCCATGAAGTGACTGCCTGTATGTCTGACCGACGTAGATAGATGGAGGCTTGCTGGTTAGAGTGTGAGTGATAATTGTGATAAGACGTCGAAGACTTAAGGTAACTTGATCCAGAATCGGTCATTATGGTGCACGTATATTCACTCTGTATCGTCTCCTCGATCTCAAAGTCCAGTATCCTTCAATACATATTCTTCTATTCTGTTTTCTTAAACCACATTCACAAGGCTTAGTCTTTTTTATCATTGCTACTACACAATTTTAATCTCTTTTTCAATTTTTATTTCTTCATGCTATTATATTGTATGGCAAGGTGGTTCAACGCAAAGCTATACCAGTGTCTGTGTTGATGATGTCTGGTTTTCTAATACCTGTTTTATCCTTTACCGTTTTTGTTCACAATCGGTTAATGATCAAGTGGTAATTGATGTCATATTTATATAACCTTGTATAGGCCTGATCGAATTCCATTGATGAAAGTGCTATGTGGCTACTAATTTAAGGGATTTGACAACCCATACACTATGTTGAGGTGTGGGGTGGTTGTAGTTGTGGTCGTAAAAGCTTCATGGGAACCTCTCGTACTACAAAACTAAGGGATACGGGATCGAGTCCACCAAGGAGAATCAGTTCCCTCACAACTACAGGTACATAGAATTTCCTGTAGGTTGACTCCAACCATCTAACATCAATTTAAGTCCCTGAAAAGTACTGTTCTACCTTGAAATGTGTTACTTTGCAATGGTTTTGTCAACCTACCGGTAACGATTGATGGTTAAATTAAAATTTTGCAAATCTTTTAAACTGAATTATAATACAAAATAATTACAGAATAAAATTAAATCTTTAGTAATAATAATATGGTATTACTGAAATATATTTTTTGTCAGCATGCGTTAACCTTGAAACTAGAACAGTTGACTGTACTTTTTCTCCTAAACCAACACTTTCATTTTATAAAGTTTGTTTATACGGTAAGTGCTTTGTTGTAGGTAAATTGCTCCTTTTTTTATATCTCCTGTGGTTTTTTGTTTGCTATCTTCCAATTATTAATATCAAAGGTTTATCAGAATATATTCGTTCTTTTATGCAGAAATGTTCATATGAGTAATCTAAAGCAACTGAAATCGTTTTATTTGATAGGATATTGTCTCTTTTGATTAAAAGACACCGCAACGATGTGTAGATATGGAATTAGTAATCAATTAGTGTTTCAGGGTTAATAATATACTGATAATATGATAGGAATTTTGTACGCTTTGTTTTTCTTTTCCAAGATGGTTTTCCGTCATTCATCATGAGGTTGAATATATATGACCTTATAGGAATCGCTTTGACTTTCTAATGTGCAAACTGTTACCATTAATGACATCATTGTTTTATTGCTGCCATATGAGTAGAATGCTAATTCTTATATTATTAGTGTACTTTTTTCTGTATCCCTTCTAACATGATCAACCACAAAAATTAAATGGTGAAATATCCGTTGGTTGTTTTATATTCGCCTCTTTTTTCTTACCAGTCAATCGTAACTAGTAATTATCAACTTCCTATAGAAGGTAATTACAAATTATAGCCTTTGTGTAAGTTCAGCTTAAACAATCGTTTTTTTTCCTATTTATGTTTTGAAATGATATTCTTTAACAATAAACACGATGTTCTATTAAATGGAGTTCAGTTAGATATAGATCGAATTAACTCTAAATGCTTTGATACTGTTAACTGCTGAATTACTCTTCCTTGGACACTAATTTTTTTGTGTGACTAATACGTAAGCCATAAATGATGTTTATATAGTAATATTTAGTTTGACTTAATTTTTCTTTAGTAACTGAAGATATAACAAACTTTTTGTAACAAGATTTTATTTGAATTTCCCGATATAATCCATTTCCTTCTTAAGTGTTTGTTTTGAAAACTACTGTTCCATGTTCGTTCATATTTTAGTCACTGATTTTTTTTGTTTATTTTTTGGCTTTCTATATTTCTTGTTTGTCAGGTAATGGTTTAAATAGTTCAGTTAAATATTATTCTACTTATCAATTAAGTGGATCACATCAAAGTGATTCCAGTAGCAGTAATGGTAATAGTTGTACATCATCAGTTAGTAGTGAATACTCTACAGAAGATTCACCTACTATTGCTTCACATATTTCATCAAGTGTATCTTCCAGTTCTAGTGATGATAATTTCAATTTAAATCATTCTTCAAGATACAAAGTGAACAGTAAATCATCGATGCCTGAATCTAATTGGCAACGTAATGCATTACCGACTTCGTCTGTTTCGAAATCAAATATACGTGATGAACAGTCGAAATCACATAGAAAATATCATCGGTCAACAAGTCTTTGTAAACCATCGGATTCTTATCGTACGCCACTACGATCTGTAACAAACATTCATGACAATTACGGCTCTTTAAATCGTTTGAATTCTGTCCCTTTTAAGAAATCTGCATCGAGTAATCCTTCGAAGTCTAAATTTGTACATAATCTAACAAATACGTTTGGTGGTTCAGTACCCGTTGTAGCCAATCTGGACACATCGTACGAGCCTGCTAATCTCCAACCAGGAAAGCAACAATCATTACGTGTATATACAGCCTTTGATAGTATTCAAAGAAGACCTCAAGTTCCATTTCAACCATCTTTATATTTCTACCCTTCGACAGAACGAATTCTCTACTCTCATCCTGCTCAAATACCATCTATACACCTTCCTAATAATCACCATGAAGGTGTTTTGTTTTCACCACGAATCCCTTCTAGTTTAACCCATACCTCCGCTTCCCGTTTGAGGACAACATTATGCGGTGCTTGTGGTGGAAGTGGTCAAGTATTAAATAATTCTAATGATGGGAATCCTCTAAGTGGTCGTTTAATTGAACCTCCCCTTATCCGCCCAAATATTAGCTTGAACCCGTTATATCGAAAAACGCTATCGTCAGCAAGGTTAGTCCACCACTTTTTCATTTTTTTTGCTAATTTCTAGAATGCTATATATATATATATATATATATATATATATATATATATATATAGTGTGATATAAATAAACAAATTATAATTATTAGTTCATACTGAGAACTCATGTTCACTTAATGGTGTGTTTATCTGTTGTTTTTTGCCTGGATGCCTATAAACTTTTCAGTTAGTTCAGATTAAGTTTGTCTGGAAGCTTTTGTGATAAAGATAAAGACTGTACGCTTTCATTGATCCCTATTGACTACATGTCAGATTCTATTAATCGATCTCTTCGAATCTTCTGATGTATTTAATGAACCGAAAAATTCGCCCAGGATTCCACAATTTCATATTCTCATTCTACATGTCTTTTTCACTTTAAGGTTTATGTTCCATAGAAATATTGGTTGGGTGCTCAGTCCCCTGATTCTTTGATTTCTAATCTTCATGTTTCAAATTCTGTTAACTTAAACAATAAAGTGTTATCCTTTAAACGTATTTTTCGAATCACTTCTCATCCAGTTATTTGAGTGTTTAACGAGTTTGAAAAGGTACTTAACGACACTATCGTGTTATCCTTTATATGAACACAATCTTTTGCATCACATATTTCTGTAGTGTACTATCTGCCGTGATTCGTTTATTTTCAGTAACACAGTATACTACTTATCATTGTATTTAGTAGATTGTGTTGTTGACACTGTTTCTTACAACTTATTTCTATTTCGCACTGTTTGCAAGCAATCTTTAGACGGTGTCTAATCTGTGTTTTATCTTAACTTATTTACGCGTGTAAGGTTAGATTTTGTGTTTCTGTGATCTTCAATTACTCTGGCTTTTAACTTAGGCAACGAGAAATACTGTCATATAACAGATAAATAGTTGACAGAAAAGTATTTGAGTAACTATGTGTTTGATCAGTTAACCCTATGGGATCAAATGCTTTTGTGTGCAAGAAATAGTCACATTAATACATAAATTATAGGGTTATCTCATCCTGTCTTTTAGACATTGTCTTAGAAAACCAGATTACTGATGGTCACGTTTAAATCATCTAAATCCAGTCAGTCATGATTCGATAGGTTTATGTTTACATTAACAAATCCATCAAAGTACATGAGAATATACAGAAATATTTTTGTGAAGAGTAAAAATGTTTCATTTCAAACTCACCTATATATATATACTACTGACAATCATGGGTCCTAGCTAGCTAGATAACTTCAAATAATACAAACACTCCCATATATTTTATTTGGAATATAATACCTCATAACTTTATACTTGTTAGTTTAGCATCGTTGTTTTGAAGCAGTCTCACATGGAAATATGACCGAAAGTCTTGTTTACAAACTGAAACTTTGTTGTCGTGTTGAATTTTTATTCTATTCTGTTAATATGCGAAAATGGCCTATGAAGCGTTTGGAAATATTGAAAACATCCTGATATTCCTCAACGGAGTAAATCAAAGAACTGAGTTCAATTCTTTGTTCTTCTTCTAATAAAGATAAGTAAATGCGCGACACTCTTCAGCTCAGATATTTTTGTAAAATCTCTAATTACTGATAAGTAGACCCAGTACTTGAAGTAATAATTCCCTTTTTCCTTATTTCACCTTATGCACTGTTTCGTTTTGTGTACTATGACAGACACTTTTAAATAACTTTTTGACATTTAATAATTACACTTTATTATCTGATGAAATTTGTTGTATTCCTAATATGTTGTTTTCGTGTGATAAAACTCCACATGCTTTTTTTTTCATGTTACGTCATTAAATTCTAATGTTTATTGTATATGAATTAGAACTAAAGAATCTCGTGCACGTCCTTTAAGAGCTACACACCCTTGTGATGATAACTCTTTTTTACAATCATTGCCTTCAAAGTAAGTAGAGTTCTTTTTTTTTGTTGACTATATGTTGCTTGCCTACTGATCAATGCAAGAAAATTTTATCTTCTCTTTGTTATTTCAACTGTTTTGCTTGTTCATTTGCATGCTTAATGTTTTTTGTCTGTTTTTGATTCCACTGTTGGAATTACTGTCTTGAATAATAATTGACTTGCATTCGCTTGCATTATATTATATGAATAAATCTGTTCTATATTTGTTTCTGCTAATTGTATGTTACATTAATTCTTATGTATATATGTTATGTTTTAACCTAATTTGATGATTACTTGTTTTTCTTTGTATCTTCGTATTTCTAAACATATGGAGCTAATTATTAGGCTTATTTTCTGTGATAATCCCAATTTAATAATACATCCATGTGTTTTATTCCTATCTGAGTTTCGACACGAAATATTTATTCGTTGTTTTTTTTTGGGGGGGGGGGGCATGAAATTTGTTTTGTCTTGATTATATATAATTTTATTAGCTCCAAGTGCTCTTTTTCACTTATTTACCTACCTGAAATGATGTAAAGTTTGTTTTCTTGTGGGTTCATGACGCTTTGTGTATTGATATACTGTCTAACCTGTATTTTAGAGATTTCTTCGCTATCTGGGATAATATTTCTTACAATGAGTATAATTTGTATTTTGAAACTGAATGTTGAATAGAATTACTAGTAGTTAAGCTATATTTGCTTATTACGGATTTTGTTTGAAAAGGAATTTTTCCATAAACGTGAAATGGATAGAATCTGGAATTGGTCAGTTTGCTGTATTTATACTATCGTATGGTTGACTGATTCCAGTGCATGTGTTATTATTTGATGTTAAATAAACTATATCGTTTATAAATTATGTAATTCATTGATGAAGCATTTTGTTTGAAAAGCTCATTCAATTAGTTTGTTACCGTAAGAAATAATGATATATTTATGTAGACTATTGGTCATTAATTGATAATTGGGAGTTGTTGGTTGAATTGAATGGTGGATAAAAAAAAATTGATCTGAATATTTGTTTTTTTTTGTCGGTCCTATACAGTTATTAGCAAGATGTGTAACAACATACGCCATTGTACATATTGTTAGGTAAATTTTAATATTAATACTCCAAACTCTAAAGATCGTTTTCTTCTATTTCTTGTCGTAGTCTTTGCTTATATGCTGTTTCCACTTCTTTTCCATGAAGCTAATTTAAAGGAATATCGATAAGAATGAACTCATCAGGATAATAAAGAATGTGTTTTCCTTAAACATGTCTTAGGCGAAATTCATTCCATTCTGATAGATGATGATGAATAACTAGAAATGCATTGAAAGTAACTTTGGAAATATAAGTATATTTTAGTTTCATTAAAAAAATCTTTATTCGTAAACCACTCGTTCATCGATGCCACTCAGACCGAGTACTTCTCCACTTGTTATACTACAACTGTCATCAGCTATCTGATGCAACGTAAGGTACTTCATAAAAACTTTCATCTTTACCATTTTTCATACCGATTTCTCGTTAAACATACTTGTTTTTTTTTCAATCGAATGATTATTTTGCTCGCAATTGATGCATGTTTACGAAAACATTTACCTACATTTTATGTATGTTGTTATTTTGAATAGTGTTTTTCAAATCATAAACAAATTTCAGACGATTGAAAATTACCTTCACCCTGATTAAGTAGCTAATTGATTAACTATAACTAACCATCTTTTCCATACTATTTAGCATTCTAATTCATATTGTATCCCGCTGTATTTTTGATTGATTTGGTATTATTGCTTTGTTTGTTTGTTTTTCTTTTCTTTTTTTTAAAAAAAAGCCTGTTTGAAAATGAAAATACTTGTAGAAATATCATTTTAAATCCATCTACTTATTATTATGACTATGAACGAACTGATCAATCTGCGAGATTGGGATCACTGTATGTTCTGTTATGTTATTGTTATCATTATCGTTGTTAATATTCAAGTCTTCATAACATAATAATAATAAATAAACAATAATAATAAAAGATTAAGTGAATGTTAGGGCAATAAGGCAAAATCACGGAGATCTAAGATATTCGAGATGATTCAAATCTCGAGTAGACATTTTTAATCCTTATGATAGAAATCACTTCTTATGTGTTAATTTTAATGATACACACAAACATGTGGTTTTTGATTCGTCAGCGCATTTGATATTCATTCCTTTGGTTGCTGTTTTGAACTGTCGTACTTTTTCTCGATCTAGTTAGTCGAGTTGTATCACCAATCGTTTTGCAGCAAGTGTAAGTGTAGAATAAAGTTGTATTATATGGTAGACTAGTAATTAATTAGTTGTCGTACAAGGAATTATGGTTTTATTGATACCAAGTACTATTGATCATAGTTTAAACAAATCCGACTATTGAATAAATCATATAAAAATTACTGTGTTGAAATATTCATTTTGATTTTTTTTCTGGTGTTAAACAAATCATCTTTGTATCCTTACTTGCCTTGTGCAATTCCTATTTTCTAGTAATAAGTATGTCTTAAAAGTTGTCTTCTATGGTTGAAATGACTAAATTATATCTGTCAGTCAGTTAGCTACAACGTAGGACCAGGCACATTTATGGATCGGTCCAAGTTGCCATACCTCGTTAGCACAACAAGATGAACACTGGATTCATAGAAGTAATTAATTGAGTGGTGGTAATGTATAAAAGATAGGTTGTATATAAGGATATATTATAAGAAGGAATAAAGTTATGAAGCAATTTTAATCTTAAGGTTTAAGGGAAGATAAAGTGTATACACCTACGCCATTGTGATCGATTCTGAGCCATGTCACCTGGAGTCTTTAACCATTGGTTACGATAGTCACGCGGACCCCAACCAGGTAGTCTGCATCTACCAACATGGCTCAGACTAGAAGTTAATAATTTCAAGCAGTGATGCCATGTTTTGGTTTGTCCGCCCCTAACTCTCTTCCAACCATCCCCTACACTATTCAGCATAGCGCGTCGTGGTAATCGATGTTCAGGCATTCGTAACACGTGGCCCAACCATCTCAGTCGATGAAGATTCATGACCTCATCAACAGATTTACCATCATTCCCTAATACCCTGTATCTAACCTCATTATTACTTACCCGGTTATCCCAGCAGATGCGAGCAATATTTCTAAGGCATATATGGTCAAATACTAGTAACTTACGAGTATCTTTTACTCTTAATGGCCGTGTTTCACAGCCGTAAAGTAGAACAGAGCGAACTGTTGCGCAGTATACTCGTCCCTTAATGGATAGACGGATATCTCGTCTTCGCCATAGGTGACGTAAGTCATTATAGTGTGTTTTATTCTTATCACTCTATAATTGAACTATTAATTATTAACTCATTTTATCTGAACAAAACTTCCAAAATAAAATACGATGAACTGATTTGGGTTTGTTTTTTTTGTTGAAAAATAGGTCTCGAGTTAATAAACATTCTCGTTCAAAGCAGATTGATCGTTCACGTCATACACATATTTCACCAAGTCATCCAAAGTATTCATATCATTCTAATAAAAATAGTAATTATAATAATGATAATAATCATAAATTTAAAATGATGGAGAACAATAGAAATATTGATGTAATGGATTCATCGGAAGATAGTACACCTTCGAATGATAAACATTCAAATCATCATAAACAAGTTTTACGAATGAATAATTCGAATTCTGTACGTTATTTTTATGGGTGATTTGTTTGTTTATCTTAATCTTCTATGGGTTTTTTAAGTCTAAGACATTAATCATATAGCTCTTGACTTTGTTACATAATTCTTCGCCTCTTCCCCCCCCCCCGCCTTCTATAGCCCCTAAATATCATTTAAACAGTTCTGCTAATCTGTTTCTGTGAAATACGATCTAATTGTTTGTAGACTCAAGCCATGAAAGATTAGTTCAATGTTATTAATTTTCTTATTATCCGTCTCATTGTTTTTTTTTCGTAAATGGTCGCTCTGTATGTACGGTTCGTCGTCTAATGCCATAATAGTTTTTCTGTGAGGTATTTGTTTCATGACTCAACTTCTGTATTTTCATCTCATTCGTTTGTCATTAGAACACAACATTGAGAAATGGTTCTCTAATGGTTTAATTTTGGTGTCACTCAAAAACCATCTTAATTACTTCTTTCTACTTAACTTTAGACGACTTTACATATTAGTAACTGAAGATGCATACAGTACCATGTAAAAAATGTTGTTACTAGGATCATTTCAAGCAGACAGTCATGGACATGTATTCGACAGGGGGAATATCAAAACATTGGATTTAGGAAATTCTAAGATTGACAGACAATATGTTAAAGCATTGCATTCAGATTAATCGACTGTTAGTATACGCATTAGCGGTCATCTAGTCTATCAACGCAGATGATCAGAGGTCAGCCGAACAAATTAGTTAACGTAAGTTAAAAGATCAATGGAGATAGCAAGCCTCAAACAAGGTTATCAGAATGAACTGATCTAACACATGTGGAATGACTACAAAGTTCACTTTTACATAACTTTGGTTCGGATGATTTTTTCTATGATTACAAACTCAACAACACTAAATTCAAGAAGTGATAACTTTGTGAAAGTATTTTGAATTATCGATTTGGTGCTTTGGAAATGAGCTTTGTTTTCTGTTTGTTTTAAAAATTTGCATCTTGTTTGAAAAGTAAAATGTTTATGAGATTAACTGAACTGCTATATGGTTTATATGAATAATTATGTTTGAAAACTTAACTATTGATTTCGTTGTTATAGCAATTAATATGGACTACTCAGGAACATGATTTAAATTAAGAATTGGGAAATTACTAATAATTTTTGTGTTTTCTTTTTGTTGAAAAATTTATTTATAGGTGGGGAAATGTGTTAATCAATCAAGGCAACAGTCAACAGGTTCTCCACCGACATCAACATCATCCACATTATTACCAACTTCATCAGCTCTACAAGAAATCCTTAAAGCAGCTTCATCAACTAGTCGATTAGCACAAAAACTTCGTTGTAGCTTAGAAGATTTATGTAAAGCTGAATCGAAATAGAGTGAATCCTATATATTTCATACTTTCAACTATATTGTGTATAGTTGTGTGTACTTGTATGGATATTTCCTTCTCATATAGTTTTACTGATTTACTTTCTTCTGTATTTTCACTATATGCATATCCTATCCCATACAGGCCTACCATTTGTATGTAATGGGATGTCGTGTTAAAGGGTGTTTTCTGTTTGTGTATATGTATACATTTCTGTGATAGGTAATTTATGCGATTTTTTTTCGGCTTTATCTCCTATCTTTCATATATATATACTACGTATAATTATTCATCAGTAGATATATGGACTGATTGTTTGATTAGGAATAGTGTTTCTTATATTGAATATAACTATATTTTTCTTTGTTCTAGTAAAACAAATAACAACTGTATTCTATATGTAGATAATTCTACTAGTAAATAGTGTTTATCCTTTATTTCACTGCTTCATTTTAACTGTCATGTAGTGTTAAACTTACTCATTATTGTTACCTTAATTATATTGGACCCATCTTTATCATATTCTTCTTTTTGTAATGATATTCTTCAATGCCTTAAAAATATACTTTCGAAATATTGTCATAATTAAATGAGAAAGTGTATGAATTAACCACAATCAACTTGTTTTTTTTTCTTACACATACATAGAATACTGCTGTACGTTACTACTTTCTTGAGACATTATGATAATTATTTTATTCATTAAAAAAGTGCATTTGTCCTCATCTTATTATCATTATGAGGACAGAAATAACTTACTGCCTCTCTGTTTTTTTTTTAAAAAAAAATAGATTCATTAATCATTTCTCAATTGAACAGTATTACAAATATTCTGTCTTTAAAGACGGTTTTCTATGAGATTTCCTTTTTTGTAGAATTAGTAATCCATTCATCTGTTGTTTCTTTTTAATTCCTTATGTACTTGAGGTTCAGTTGTTTGTTTTTTTGGTTTTTAAACCCTTGAATTTATTTGCTTTGTTCTCTCCATTTGTTTCTTTTATCGATGTTTTTTTTTCCAGTTTGTTATAATTCCTGAATAAATTTTAAGTGAAATATTTTGTTCGGAGGGGGTTTTGTGGAGAATTTAGTATTTTCATAGTTGAAATCATAAGTCAATTGAAGCTAGACCAACATGGAAAACCTAGAAGCACTGGACGGCCGTTTCGTCCTATTGTGGGACTCCTCACCAGTGCGCATCCACGATCTCGCCTCGTGAGATTCGAACCTAAGACCTACCAGTCTCGCGCCAGAGCCCTTAAGCAATAGACCACTGAGCCGGCATCCAACGGTGTTAATGTCTAACTTCAAACGATCCACGATTTTGAGCAACCGTTCATCAATTGTCTTCAGTGAGTTGATATCCCTACAACAGACTTGGTAAAACTCCACTGGTCACTGCTTCCCACTAGAACTCAAGGCCGTCCAGTGCTTCCAGGTTTTCCATGGTGGTCTAGCTTCAATTGACTCATGATTTCAACTATGAAAATTTTTTGTCGTTTGAAATCTTGTTTCGTTAACAATATCTCAAGAATAGTGCTTTAATTCATGTGTTGGAGAATTAATAACTACAATCTTTAAGTGCCGTTAACCACACCATCTTATATGGATGTTATCGACAGCATTGAAATTTCTATCACCAAACGAATAAAAATGAGACCATAGAGCCCATACAAATTAGTTCCGATACTAATCCTAACAGTTATTTATGTGGTCACAAGTGACCTTGAAGTTTGAATAACTAAAGACGCTAAAATATGTTGTGATTTACGAAGATTCGATCAATCAGATTATTAAAAAAAACAAATGCACTACTTTCTAGAACGCTTTAATCGTTAATTCTTCAAATGTACTCCAGGTAGCTCTTCATTTCTTCTAGATTTCCATAAATATCTACCGAAAATTTCTAACATGGGACTGTAGCTATTTAGTTGAAATTATTCAATATTTGACAGTTAAGTGTTCAAGTTATCAGTGCACGAATGTAAGTTTTCATATTACAGTAGTAAGATGAAGTTTTATGGATTACTATCGAAGTCTATTAATTCAATATCTCAATAACTTTAGTCAGTTGAACATAAAGTTTTTTTAAGATCAGTGTTCGAAATTTCAGCAAGTCATGGAGAAGAGTGAACATACAATCGGATGTAATGTTTAAAACTGGTTAGCTTCCGCATTTTGCCGTAACAAATGAGAAATTGATCAATATTTGAAGCTCCACTTTCAATGCTTGATGGTAATACACCAAATGTCTCATTTCTTAAAATTAACCAAGTCAGGAGACGATTGCATCGTTTATTCTGGTACTATTCGGTCGAAGTTTTTATTTTTTTACTAGTATAACTCATGGAGCACAAAAATGTTATACTAAAACGAGGAGATGTTGTTTTAGCACAATTCGATAAATACGCTTGTCCAGTAATTGTTTTGGAATGGATCTATATTTTCACGCCTAACTGTCGTTTACATTGACAGAAGTGATCGGTCTAAACATTGTATTTTTTTATAACTTTGTCGAGTATATTTACCACATAAAAATTCGGTCAACATAAACACAAATCAAAAACTTAATTTGATTAAATGACATTAGTGTATACAACGGATGTAATTCTTTTCATCTAATGTATTACATGTCATTTCGTTCCCCGATAAGTACAAATTGAAATGTGATAAACAAATTTATGTGTTATGGAATATCAAGGTGAATTATGTGAATTGTTTACTTTCCTTTAATGTTCGGGTTATGAGGCGTGTCACTTGTTATTGGTATTAACTTCAACTGATTGTTACTCTTCATTAGGCTAACATGGTATGGTAGTTAAACTATGGATTAGTTTGGTTTTCAATCAGAGTTGATTAATCAATTAACAGATTATCAATGAATTGTTTATGTTGTTTTCAAAGGATCCTATAGTAACAAAGTTGAATGTTCACTGAATGTCATAAGTTGTCATCTTATGATGCTTAGATTTAACAAATGGAAACTTTCTTTTCAAATTTATTTGTTGTTGTCAACCAACGCAAATGTATATGTATCAATATATACTTATAAATCATTTCCAATATTTATATTAACGTAGCTAATTATTTATATTATCATGTTGCACTTGACTTTAAGAGCTGGATGCCAATATATATATGAGAAATATAACATATTTGATCCCTAACGTTTAATACTATGTGTATAAACATATTCATACATATGATTTCATCTAGTTGTTAAGATAGTTTCATAGGCTTTACCAACACAATCATGTGTGCTTCTTTGCTGTATTATAAATGTAAGCATACGATCACTAGTAACCAAAGGACGGGTTTACTGTGCAGCAGTTCGTTCCGTCCTACTTTATGGCAGTGAAACATGGCCGATAATAGTAGAGGACATTCGTAGGCTACTAGTGTTCGATCATAGGTGTCT